GGACATTTGGAGACAACCACTCTATTCCTAAGCACTGGAGGGGCTGAAAGGAAAGGTTCAAGAGAGGAAATGACCCCAAAACTACAGAATCTCAATACAGAATTATCAAGGCAGAGGCTCTGGAAGCTCTGATGGCTTCCAGCTTGGCTCCTAACAAAGCAAGGGGGCCTACAACCTTACATGTTCTTCTGCCCTGGCGGTGGAAAGTTCATTTTCCTAATTAGGAGTTCTGCCTCTGTGACATAAAGGACCCTCTGACGGATAACCCACTTTATTTTTACCTGATGGCCCACTGACACGGGAAGTTCCGATTCGTTGTGATGTAAATCGTGGGTACTTTCTGGGGGTTTTGTGTCTGCCTCCCTCGGAGTAGGTTTTTGGGAATGGCAGCCCTGGGGGAGAGAGGGAGTTAGTGGGGAAGAGAAAAATGGGAGCCGGGCTTTGACCTGCCGGAGAGGAGCCCCTGCTGACACGGTCAGTCTGACCCATTGAATGGCCTGAATACGATAAATGCTGCTTTATCCTGCCTTGAAAGGCACGAGATAGCAGAGTCTAAATGCCTGGGCATGCTTAAATAGGCGACTCGGGATGTTTGAGTTGAGCGTGTTTGAAATCTGAGCTCTCTGACAGCCTGGGAGCTGCCACAGGTCACCTGCCTTGTTCCGTAGGGACAGGCCCAGGTCTCACAAGAAATTGTCCGTAGACGAATTGTAGTACAAATTCCTTTCTTTGTTGGTTGGCCTCTTTCACTAGACCATGGCCTATAAAATTTTGTAAAAACAATTCCTAAATATTATTTGAAAGGGCAAATGGCCCACGCTGAAAGGTTTGACAGTTTGACATATAGTGCATGGTTTTGATAGCTCGGAAACTAGAAAGGGTGGCCAAGATTCTCCCCCTGCTTGTTAGAAGCCTGGTGTTTTTTAAACAGTGTCTTGTTGCTGTGTAGAGTTCCTCAGCTCCTCGCAGTCTGACAGGCAGCGAGTCTGCTTCAGTGATCTTAAGTCCTTTTAGACTAATTTGCTGGCGAGCAGAAAAATAGCTAGCACCTTTGGATCCAGCGTCCAAAAGGCCCAGACACAGGTACTGCCAATTAAGGAGCCATTGGGATAATCATATCAAAGCAGATCACTGTGGAATCTTCTGCTCATGCCAGAGTCTGTGGAGAGAGAGAGAGAGAGAGAGAGCGAGCGCCAGCACCAGAGTTTCACTTCAGTGAGAGGGAAGAAAGGGCTTTGAGGGCCCGGCCTCAACAGAGCCCAGGAAGTTGCAGGGAGTGGATTTCTGCATTAGAATATTGCATATGTGTGCAGCCAGAGCACGCTCTGCACCCGCCGGCGGCCTCTGCATAGCCAAAGGCCATTTGCAGGAGCCTCTGGCCCCTCAGTCACTGGCCTACTAGTTAATTGCCACACGGACTTCATGACACATGGGCAGATAATATGACATTTTCGGTTTCTGTCACTAGCAAACGCCGCAACGTTGCTTGCACTAGTTGCTAAGAAGCTGTCAGAAACCATTAGCAGTTGGCTAAAGTCGCCCTATGGCATTTCCTCATAGCATCAGCAAAACGAGCATAAATCACCCACTGGAGCCTACTGCTATCCTAATGAGGCTGTAAGCTTGTTTATGGACTGGCATCATTTTTATGATTATTTCCACCTTTTCAGTTTGCCTTCATTTGGCGGCAGGAGAAGTCAGCTCCGGGAATGAAGTCACTGCTGACATTTTACAAATGTGGTTCAGAGCCGCTGCCTGCTGCCGTGTGGTCGGCCGGCGGTCCTCCAAGTTTGTTTAGTGATCTTAAAAATAAAAAAAGGAAATAAATCCTCCGGAGACCGCATGGAGGTGACTGTATCAAATTGCAGAGGGAATGGAAATGCTGAAGGTACAATTGACCATTTAGACTTTCCTCTGGGGTGGAGATGTTCTGAGATCAATTTTCAATTTTAGAAAGTGGAAGAGGTTAAAGAATTTATTAAAATCTATGAAAGTGTTTGCTTTGAGAATCGTCTGTTTCATTACGCTCTTCTCCTTCCCCATCTTCTCCGTTTCCCTAACTGTGTTGGAAAGGAGCAGGGTTTATTGTTTTAGGCTTTTCTGAACATGCACCAGTATTTACACTGGATTGAAAGCATTTGCTTCCAATGAAAATCTTGTCTTAGATTACAACCCAGCAGTGTAATTTCCCTCCCAGATGGGAGTAAAGTAGCTGTATTTGCCTAAAAACAGTAGGAAGAACAAACTGTGCATTAAGCCAAGGCTGGTTTTGGCTTGAGCTAATGATGTAATAGAAACCTTTTATTCGGGAGAGGTCACTGCCAGGGACTGAAGGGGGTGATCTGGCTCCTGCTTGAAAGGTTTCTCCATTGTATCTACATAAGTCTTCACTTAAAAAATCCTGTTCCTAATGCTTCTGCTTTCATACAGCAGAAATAAACAGGAAAGGTTCTGGTGAGTGTTTCGCATGGAATGCAGAGAGCCTTCCTCCCCTAATGGAGGATATAATTCAGGTGCCCTCAAGGCACGCTTTCAGGAATTCTTTTGCCTGAGGTAATGGGAAGCTAAGGCTGCTTTAAGGCCTTGATTATCTATTGATGCACAAAGCTGGAAAAAAGTCATCTCCACTGGATTATAGTAGATATTTCCATAAATTATCAATGAATTCTCTTCTAGGCAGGCACTAGGCATTGCTTGCTAAATTAATCTGAAGGGGTTTGAGATGGCTAAAAAGGCTATTTTTTTTTCTAAAGGAGAAAAACAATCCTGGGGAGGTGGTGAAAAACAGTATTATTAGGTTAGAGGCTTTTCCTTTTTAATCAATGATCAAGTATGATGTTTCTTTTCTGGAGTTACCTTGTGTATATTGAAAGTGGATTTGCCCATTGAAATTTTAAATGCTGTTGAGTTGTTTTCTTTTCTCATGTTTCTTTAATGCATTGTTATTTTATATGGTGAATTGCTTCTCTGAATAAAAAGCCTCTTTAAAAACTAGACTTTCAAAGAATTTATTAGACAAACCCAAGGGGACTTCTCATAAAACACTTGGTTATGCAAATAAAGCGTTTGGTGGGAGTGGTAGGAGCACTGATTTAGGGGTAGGGGTGTATGGTCCAGTACAGACCTCCAGAGCTCCAGGCCCAGCTACGTGACCTTGAGCCCGTCATGGGACACACAGCGCTTTTTCATTGGTGCGATGACAGTTTTGGAGTTGTGAGTCTTCATGGTTTTCTCCAGTGTGAATACAGGCTACAGTCTGTAGATTGCTAACAAAAATTTATGGATTTTAAATACAGTAAAATTATTGATTTTAAACTAATCAGAGGTTAAACTCAGAAAAGTTCTATAAAAGTATTCTATTTGTGGCATGTGCTAGAAATAGAGTAGCAATGTTGAAATGAATCTAATCTTCACTCACCAAAGTTTTTAAACTTTAGCTCAGTACAAGTCAAGGCAATTAATAATAATAATAATAATAACAGGCATTTTTCTTCTTTTCAAATTGAGGGGAGGCAGTGTGTCCTGGAGGGCCACAAAAAATAATTGATGAGTTGCAACATAACTATTATAGATTAGTCGGAAATAGCTCAAAGTAGTAAGTCAAAGTAGAAAATTCTTTTATGTAGGACCTAAATAGCAGAAATGAGAAATGGAGAAATTCCTGAAGCCATGTAAATGATTCTGAGGCCAGTTCCAATAGCCACCAGGAAATCTGTCTTACCAAAGGATCAGGTTCTTTGGGTCGTGTAGGTTGTTCTCCAGTGATTTCTTTAACCCAGGACATGTGCTGTTAGGTGTGTTTGTTATGTCATAGCTAAGCCTGGGCCCTTTACCTCTTCTTTCTGGGCTCAGTTAACCTGTCCATTTCTGAAAGCCAGTAGTTCTCACAGAGCAGAGGCACCAGGTAGAAGCCGTGGTTCACTGGCAAAGGCTGTTTGTCAGAAGTTAAGCTACTTTTGGGTGTAGTAGTTTAGCCCGCTGTTATTTTCCCTTTTGACTTTGGTACCAAGACAAAAAAAAATCTGCTTTCCATTTGTACTTTATGACTTATTTTAGACAATGTGATTATATGGGCTGCAATTTCTTTTTTGTGTGTCAAATATGGCATTGTAAAAGGAATACTACCTTTTTTATTTTACTGCATCACAGAGCTAAGATTATTTTTTAGAAGAAACAATTTTAATGTTACAACAAAAATCAATAAAAAAAACCCAGGAGCTGATATAGAGGTATATATTAGCAGGTGACTTTTCAGTACGAAGAACTTAAATCTAGACTAGACTTTAGAAGCTTCCTGTATTATTATTGTAACATAGTTCAAATTTACTCTTAATTTAGCATTACTTTATTTTATCTAAATAGTAATTGTTTTGTAATTTAAAAACTATGTGAGAGGTTTTTCCCTTACTAAATTTGATGCTCTCTCTAAGAAAAATGATTTTCTATTTTAAGCATTCCAACATCAAAATGCTTATGTGATGGATTGCCTGCATTTCTCCAACTAGTCTTAAGATAGATCACTTGTGGAAATAGTTGATATCTCAAATGCACCTTCTCACAAGTTCATGGCAATGACTATATGTGGGATTTGAATACCTAAGCAGCAATTCCATTGCTGATGGCTGCCACCATATTTAACTCCCCGTAAGTGTTACACTTAATGAATCTTAGCTTATAAATATATATAGTGTGTATATATATAGTTTAGTGTATATATATATATATGAATAATTACCATGGCAACAAAGCCACTAAAGAGACTGGATATTCCCTCCCATTCCCTTTGACCTTTGGCACTGTTCTTTGAAGACATTCTTTAGACCTGACTACTTTTGAGCCTAGGCCTTGTTCTTTCTCTTTGTCATGGAAAAAAAAAAGTACCAAAGAAACTATTAATCATTTAAATTGCTCTTTTGGTTTTGTTTATATCCAAAGGCATTCTATTTGAATAAAGCATGTCAAGGTAGCATCAGTCAAAATTTGATTCACTATGTTTGCAGGTGATGGCTTGGACAACAGTGTAGCTTCCCCCAGCACAGGTGACGATGATGACCCTGATAAGGACAAAAAGCGTCACAAAAAGCGTGGCATCTTTCCCAAAGTAGCCACAAATATCATGAGGGCGTGGCTGTTCCAGCATCTAACAGTAAGTGGATTCTAAATGACATATGTAAACTAAATATGGACAATGAACCAGTTTTGATAGAAAAAAAATGATCCCTCTGGACTTGGAATATTTCCTACACCACTGTGTTCCCACAGTTTTTACTAAGGTGTTAGCACTTGTTTCCTAGACTCATACCCCAATGAGGAGTTTTATTTGAAGCTCACTATTGCCATTTGTTAACTTTTGTAAGTTATCAGTTTGAGGAGTTCATGTTCACTTGTGATTTTAAATATGTTTGTTAATGATGTTGCTTTTCTAAGTGTGACCCTTAGTACTTAGAGCCAGTTCCTGCTCAGAAGAAAATAAGACAAACCCCAGGGAGAAAGACTAAATATCGCCCAGTGCTTTTGTGGACCTTTTAGCGAATGGCCAGCAGAACTTTAAACCATGTCACAATGGCAAGATGATCACATAATTCCCTTTTGAGTGGTTTGAATGCACTGGCCTCCATTACGAAACATTCGTGTGAGTCAGCTCCATAGTGAAAGTTGTCCCGGCATTCAGAACTGTAAAGGAAAACAGCAATATAGAGTCAGCTCTTCCTGTGTAGTCCCTGGTGACTTTTCAAGCAGAGTAACAGTTTATATTGTCTGTGTGAGTATTGCTGTTTTCACTGCAGGAATTCTCCTGGAGATGTGAGAAACTGGAGATTTGGGGCTTTATGCCACCAGGGGATTTGTTTTGTTTGGCTATTGTTCTGAATGAATTTTATGTTCAAAATATTTATAATCATAATATTTTGGTGGATATTTTTGTAAGTGCGTACTGATTTAATCACATCCGAGGTAGAAAAAGACAAAATGAAAATTTACGGATAAAATAATATTTTAAAAATCAGCAAAATTGTTAAATATTAGGAACACAGGATGAATTTTGACAGGTTGCAGCATAGCTCTATACATAAACGAATGTTTCAAAGTCTTTTCTTTTATAGAAAATGTCAGGAGCAAATATTTTATGTTACCATTTTTAGCTGGTTTGCTTTCCTGAACATCATGTTTCCCCCTTAAATATCAAAACTAATTCTGTATTGTCACAAACACGCCCAGAACCTGCCCACATTCACTCCTTGCCTGCCTTCTAGGCCATGTTCCTCTGTGAGTTGTACTGGGACAGGGAGGCAAACCCGGGATGTCTGAAGGACCCCTTAGTTCTGCTCCTCTAGCGGAGGGCTGTGCCTCCGATCACACTGCAAGGCATAGTCATCCAGACTTCTAGTGTCTGTGAGCAAAATAAAAACTGAGAGCAGCAGGAATAACAAGAAAATAGTAGTTTCCTCCCTTCTTCTGTTCCCACTGTGATTCCAAACACTAGGCTACATGGACAGCTTTTTGAACAAACTTCAGGAGTTTGCTAATGGTGGAAGTTCATTGATGGTTCCACTGTTGAAGCTGCTGGGATCTTAACGTTCAATTTAGATTCCAATTTAGGTTGATCTAAAATCTGATTCCAATACAATTACTAATGTGCCTCTTGTTACTTGTATGTAGATATTTGAGGTCTGCCTTGTGTGACTTTCCCATTGAGGATTGTCAACCAGTAGTGGGGGAAGGAAAATTAGAGTCTCCAGGGCATATCGTGGAAAATAAATAGTGTGGTATTTAGTTAAGAAATGACAGCTGGCCAAAGGTGCTGACGCAAAGATGCTCATATTCATCACCAGAGCTAATCAGCTAACTTGACCTGGGGAATGAATTGGAGTGAGAGGATAAACTCAGGGTGTCCCTGAAGTTACAACCATGCTATTTCTATTTCTTATTCCAACTGAGGAAATCCAAGAGATTTCTTATTCCAACAGAGCTTTCTTTAGCCCCCATCTCAATCTGCATAGGAGTGTTGGTTTTACTTGAAGCTGTGGCAGCCCTGAATAAAATATAATCAAATATTGGCTCAGACAGGATCAGGAGAGAGAGGCAAGTTATTTCATTCCTCTGCCAGTTCTCCTGTTTTTCTAGGTCATACCCTTCTGAAGAATCTTACAGAGAGCTATATTATCTTTTTCAGAAAAACAAACAAAAAAAAACAACAAGAAACCATTCTAACAACCAGTGTCACTTTGCCTGTATTACAGTGTTTATGTGAGTTATGGGGAACTGGGGCAATTGTAACAGAAATTATTCATGAGCTGCCTGAGTTTTTTTTTTTTCCTGGCTAGTTGACTTTGGTTTTGGGGTCTTTGCTGGCCTGTACCACTGCCCTGGAAAGGGCAACCCATTCCTGTGTGTTTCCTTGGCTTTCTGTGAATGGTCACAGAAGTTGTCTTATGGGATCCGTTGGCTGTATCTCCCTCCCTTAACTACAACAGTGCCATCTGCTCATGCAGAAATATTAATGATGATAACAGTCTCTAAAAATTAAATTGACTGCATAACTTCATCTAAAAAGCAAAGTCAGGAGGTACATTTAGAGTGTTCACCCATTTCCTTCCGCCAGTGAGAAAGATTCCCTTTCTCTTCTCTAATTGCAAAAGCAAATAGATCTCTAGTTACAAGAACACCTTCACCTTGTTTTGTTGTCATTATTGAAGGAACACTTGGACTACTTAAGCAACATTTATAAAAAGGAACTCATTCTAATAAATTCTATGGAAAAACTTACAGAATTGGCAGGTTTGTTACTGTTTGTCCAAACTGAACCACTGACATCTCAGTACTAATCCTTCAGTAACTTTATCTCAAATTCTGAGATGTCTTCAGGGATACACAATTCATTAGGAAGACTGTGTGTAAATTTTAAATGATCACATTATTGTTATGTGATTAATGCAACTTATCTAGAAAATCCTTTCTGAAATCTTGCTAGATAGAAAAAAGCAATTGAAACTCTGGCTAATTAAAACAATAGCAATAACAATTTATTAGCAAATTGTAAACTAATCTTTTTAAATGCCAAAAGGCATAATCTAAAACCTCACCCACCTTATTGAGAGCAAATTACTGTTTTTTTCCTTTTCAAATAAATGGATCAATCCTTTCATTGGATTTATTCAGTTAAAAAAAATCTGCCCTTGAAAGGGCTTTCCAGCCTTTTTTGTGTTAGAGGAATAGAATAGGGCCTGAATCAAACACCTTTCTGGATTTGCACCCCAGCTGCAAGAGAAGACAGACATGCTGGTCCACAGTTATCCACAGGTACATTTAATCAGTAGCACATTTTACTGCTCCAGAGAGAGAAGTTAAGCATCGTGCTTGGGACTCACAGTCTCTAGCAAGCTGAACGGTACATATTTGTGTATAATGAAAACAGCAGAAGGAAAAGGAAACAAGTTTTAAACTTTGGTGATTATGGGGTAAAAGGAAGTTTCAGTGAGGTAAATTCCCAACTTAGAGTTAGTTGAATATTTGCCAGTGTTGATAAGTAGAAAAGATCTCCTAAAAGAAACTATTCCCTGGAATTGAAGAGTGACTGATGTGATTTAGATAATAAGAGAGAATTAGAAAGAAAATAAAGCATTTATTAATAGAAATGCTTGCAGTTGCCTAAAGATAAAGGATTGCAAGTGATTAAAAAGTACTTACTATTTGCCTATGAGTCAGTGTACAATGACAATCAGTTCAGGGGCATACGTCACAGCAGTGTGTTTCTTCTGTCTTGAGGGCGTTCATTACTGCAGCTGGGAAAAGCCTGCTACGTCACAGCGCTTAAGCTGGATGTGTTTTGCACATCACTGTTTCTTCTGCTCACAATATTACAAAGATATGTCTCCAAGGGCCTACTGAAGGTGAGGAAAAAGAATAAATACGATGTTTAAGGTAAAAGTCAGGGGTCTTTTTTTCTTTCTGTTTGCCTACCTTATCATATGGAGGCTTGAAATATAATCTAAGTAGAAAAGCGGCGAATGTGGTGCTTATTTAACATATGTGTGACTGTATTTCCCTGCATAGAGCTGCTATGTGTCCCAGGATCCTGAAAGTTAGGGAGAGTGGAGGTAGTTAAAAAACTACATACCTGCCAATTCAGATGCTGGAAGCATTTACAGGTCAATATTTGGCATTCACCAGGCAGAGAGGTGATCCTCAGGTGAGATAAGTGATTTTCATTCTCATTCTCTCTGAACCCCCGAATGAATCAGAGTCCCATTGGGTTACGTCTTACAATCAACATGAACTTTATTTCTAAGTCAGATACTCATATTTGCTATGTGTCTTTGTTTTGTTTTATTCCTTTGTATGTGTGAACTTCTAGCCTTGAAAATATTTTTGCGTGTGTGTGGCCAAATTTATGTCTGGATTTCTGATTTATAAGACTTTCCTCTCATTGTGGATAAAGCCAATGTGAGGGGCTGTAGAATCTTCCAGGTTGAGAATGGCGTTTCCATAGAAACACTATTAGATGAAAAGTGCCCTGCGGGTCCGCCACTCTGAGGATGGAGTAAATGGAATTGAATTGGGAATTGAATGCTCTAGAAGAGACAGATGTTGTTTCATTGGTTTTGCTTTTGGTAACAAGATCTGTTGGAGATATCTTAGTGTCATATCTCTGCTTGCAGTTTCAAGATTTACCCTTTGAACGTTATGAATCATTATTACAGTGAAAACACCTCTGATTGGTATCCAGATAACCTGTTCTGTTGGTCAAGTGAGTTGAAAGTCAAAAGGCAGACAGAAGGCCCCCTAGGTAGGCACATATGTGGGTAGTACATGGAACTGTCTTCTCTCTTCCCCTATCTATTTCTCTTTCTCTCCCTCACCTCTACACAGAGAACGTTCTTGTTTTGGCTAGCATTGTCCAGCATTGTCCAGCTACCTGTCCTCAAAGTTGCTGGCCAGTCCTGAGAAGATGGTGGGGCTGGACAACTGTAGCTTTGCACTCTTGTCTGAAATGGTGGTTAGCGGATTACAAAGAATTTAGGAAAGGCAGTCCAGCTTCAAACTAGACCTAACCTACCTTCTTTTTTGTGTACTTGAGTTGAAGGAATGGCTTGTGGAGATGGTAGGGAACTTTGCTTCCTTCTTTACTACATGTTACCTGCAGATCTG